GTGCTTATAACTTCTGTAAAGAAGATTGGAAGCCACTTATTAGTATGTTTTCCTTTCTTTATTATTTTTCTTTTATTTTTTTCTTACTTTCTTGCACTTTTAGTTTTCTCTTTGATTTCTTTTTCTTTTTTCTTACTTACTTTATATCAGCTTGTATTAGTTTTTATCGTTGTTTTTAAAACTGTAATAAAAAGAAAAGTTAATTCAAACAAAGGAAAAAGATATGTTGTGGTCAACTAAAGAACTCTTGCTATCTGGATATTGAACTTAAGGGAACCCAAAGCCTAAATAGCCTAAATTTGTTATCCCAGAACAGTAGCTGACCAGGAAAGAATTTTATCCAAATTGGGTGCGAAAGAGACAAGAGGTAGAACTAACCCAGCTGAAAGTAAACTAGCAGGGCTGATTATTTAAACAGCACAGGCTTTTCCAATTTACTGCCTTTTAGATGTTTTAGACTACAGTACCCATTATCTCAGCCAGCATAAGCTATTACAGATGGCTGAATTAGGGGAAAACTGTGTGGCAAGAAGGCCTCTTTCACCAATTTGGTACTGAATGAAGGAAAATATCACCTTTTGCAAGAAAAAGAAAGTAACTTCCATTCCAGAAATCACATCAGCCCTTAGGTCAACTATTATTCAACATTGTAGGAAAGTAATTCAAAAAAGCTCATTATCACTGATAACAATTTAATAATAAATGTACAACAGAAACACAGAGACTAACAGCTAAGCACAGTGAGCTCAATAAACTATACATTTTTTGTGCCAAACTAAACACTGGTATAATTACAATGTTTTCCTCTGAGCATCTAGAATCAACCTAGCTGCTGGACAACTAAGTGAAAAATTCTTAGACTAACTGCTGTGTTCCCCACAGACCACCCAAAGAGTCAATAGAGCAGAAAGAGTAGATATATGGGTTATCTGTCCACCTTCACATATTCCAGCTGCATCCACATATTTACACAGAGAGTAGAAAACTAAATCTTCTCTCGGGTGCATTCCTCAAAGGATAAACCACAAAAACAACTACACTTTTCAAGAATAGTTATGAAGCACTGTATACATAAGTTAAACCAACGAATCAATATAACAGCTTCAGTGCCTGCCTGACAACATTCCTTCACGAGAAGCCAATCACTTCTACCCTCAGTAAAGGAAGAAAAGATGCTTGTTTTTTGATGCTTGGGAACTATTT